CATACCTAATATCAATAAAATATTTCTAGATAGAGCTGGAATTAGGGCGTAACAGCTTTTGTAAACAATGACTTCTCTCGAAACTCAAGGCACGCCCACGCCAACCAACATAACCAACGGGAAGGGGAAGTCTTCCCCTACTTGATGGTGACGTTGATTTGAGTAGGCGAGCCTTGGCTTTCTAGATATCATCGAGAGACGTCATTGTTTACAAAAGCTGTTACGCCCTAATTCCAGCTCTATCTAGATTTGTAAATCCCGCGTAAGTATTCTTAGGTATTTTTAAGTATTTTAAACCATGGCTATAAATTTTCATCGAAGCAACACTTATTTTTTGATGACCGGTTGCTAGTGTATGTGTTTGTTGTTGATTTGTTGTTTTCGGTCGTCTTGTATTTGTACAAATAAGAGCAGAGATCGAAATTTTCGCCTACTTTAGGAGAGAAAGGTCTTTTTTCACCTGCTAGGAGAAATAGATGAGAATTTGAGAAGCGAGAGAATATTGTACGCTCACAGCAGTTTTCGCGAGAAAAGCAACAGCGATTTATTTTTTTCGGAGAGCATGAGCGGCAGATAAATCGTTTCTTTTTCAGTGAATTCTTGATGCCGATAATGATTTTTCACTTCTTTCATACACCTGAAAATTCGCTTTCCGAACGCAAACGATGATCCGAAATGAAGAACCAAAACATCAGTTAGGGCACATCCATAAGCTACGTAGAATCTGAGGAGTAATAGAGAGGGGATTTCAACATTTGTAACGGACCATGCATAAGGTATAGGAAAAATCGCCACGAAGGGGGAGGGGAAGGTCTAAAATTGGTAAGAAAATTGCATCGTCATTTATGGATGACCCTTATGATTTGACAGAAGGTATAAAAAGGAAATAAAAATTGGGTTGGAACTGAACAATTTGGTTGGTATGTTTTTCGCTCTTGGTAGGTAATATCAGGCATAACATTTGATAACGGCACAAAAGCATTTGTAAACAAACTTTCTAAGGCCCTTTACACGCGAACCAAAGTACGCCCACGCAAACCAACAACATCATCGGATAGGGGCAACTATTACCTTTCCGAAAATTGTATTGGTTTGCTCGGGCGTACTTTGGTTCGCGTGTAAAGGGCCTTAGAAAGTTTGTTTACAAATGCTTTTGTGCCGTTATCAAATGTTATGCCTGATATGGTTTGGTATATCAAACGGCAAATTATGCAGCTTAACATCCGTTGCTCCATCGGCAATGAAGAACGGAATATGATAGGTGATGTCTTTGTACTCCATCGTGTGCTTGAGGTTGTGCTCTTCAGCGAATTTGTTCTGCAGATTCTATTGTATCCATCTTGATGAATACGTACGATGTGATGTTGTTGAGCTGCAATCCTCGCACTTTGCTCCAATCAAGCTGAACATCTTTCGCGATGAAATCGTCCACTTGGGACGGTTTGGGTTTTGCTGGCATGACACTGAAGTCAATCACGCATAGTTGGCGGTTGGCCATGTTTGTGGTGTGTGCTGGTTCCTTTCGGAAAAGAGTAGCAAAACTCATCGGACGGGTGTCCGGAAAAAAGTAAAAAAAAACACAACTTTTTTCTCTGCCGTAGTATTACTCGGCCGTACACAGTAAGCATATTAATATAACAATTGTGTAAGACTATGAAATTCCGGGCTTACTTGTGTTGTTAAATCATCGGTTGACTGGGGGTGCTTTGTGAGTTGTTATTGTCGTTGCCTCGGAACGAGGTCTTCTGTTTCACTATCCCAGTCAGAGTCACTGCAAGTCTCAAATTCCGACTCCACCATGCTACCAACAATCAATACAAAACTAACGATTTTAAATTGGCTCACTACTTGACTAGCCTATTGGTCCCAAGCAAACGATTAACGTACCCCATTCTAGTCGAAATTCTAGTAATACACAATGTTTGTTTTGATTCGATATGAAAGTTTGACAGATGCTACTATACAAATTTTTAGTGGTTTGTTTGAACTTGGTCCTTTCTTGTGCTAAAGCCTGCCATACTTCAATGGGAATTTTGCTCCTCTCCACGTTCTGTCCAATACAGGTTATCCAGGTATATGCCGGTCTTCCAAATTTCTTGGGTTCTGACAAGGTTGCAAAGACTCATTTCAGCTAAAACAATGTTTTTCTAAATTATGAAATAATTAGATGCCATGATCAAATTTTGAATTGGTAGGATACAAGAAGAGGTTGCAAAGAATGTGTTTGACATATTAAACCTGTTTATTTCACTTCATGAGAGTCACAATCAGCGATTTTTCACAAACTCACTCACTCACTCACTCACTCACTCACTCGGCGATCAGCAAATCGCTGATTGTGACTCATAGAAAGCAAAATTTACAGGTTTTATGTTTCCAACGCATACTTTGTAACCTCTTCTTGTAAGTTACAAGTAAAACATGCCATCATACCATCTTTTGGTTTTATTATTCCGAAAAACATTATTTTAGCTGAAATGAGTCTTTGCAACCTTGGGTTCTGTTATTCTGTACTTGAGTGCAAAATTTCGTTTTCAAAATTCCGGCTGGATCGCTCCTAAGGATTTGTCCGTAGTAGTTGAGCCTTGATATGCTTTTCTTGTTGTTTATCGTATATTCACCCAGCCACCCGGGGGCAATGCGGCCACTACTACTACTCTCTTGTGGACAATCTTCGTGATGATTGTTGTCGTTGGCAGTATTTTGTCAACCGCTAGATTGCTCATTCTCCTTATCATTTCATGTAGGCACTTCTGTGTCAACGGCGACCAACTTTTTTTTTCCTGTGATTTATGATCGTTGTCTTCTTCAAAACTTCATCGCCTTGATCTAAAGAAAAGAAAATCGCCACTCGATCAAGCCAAATTCAAAGGTAGTATCTGTGTGATGTCGCATTCCAAAAAATTTAAACCAAATAAATAAAAAAAAATGTTTGCACTCATTAAACTCAATTATTTAGAGAAAAAAAATCATAGCTAAAATCATAATTCTAAATTACACAATTATTTAATTTTGGCTAGTAGCTAAATTCCAACAAGCTTTTGGTCCGCTACATCACAACTGGCATCACTAGTGTGCATCTTTCGAAATGTAAATATACAGACAAGCCCTGGGACCTGGTTGTAGTAGTTAAGCAATCCTCAAGGTTATGCCAATGCCCAGGGTGTGTAAACCGTCCAAATTGTGCATGAAATTGATTCACCAATATTAATCAGCTGCTAAAAACTGTTTACATCGTGTTGAAAACATTTTTTGTGAATGACAGGCGCACCAACACTAATGTAAACCGGGATTAGGAGAAATTTTTAAATTACTCTAGCATCATCAATACTGAGAAATTCATAAAATCTTCAACAAATAAATGCAGCACGAAAGCACTAAAATCTTTCAGCTCGAAGGCTCATAAAATTATGGGGGTCCCCCATAATTAGCAACGCAATGATTTCTAGCATAAGCCTGAAGAGAAGGCTGCCGCAATAGGTCAACACTTCGTCAACTCCCATAATCTCGGACAAAACATCGTCAGACCTCACGAAGCTGAGGTTGCTGAAAAAAATTTTCCCGAGGAATACGAGATTACGGCTGACGAACTGTTGGCCTATATCAAATCATCTAAAAACATGAAGGCCCCAGATTTCGACAACATCCTGAATATGGAACTCAAACACTTGAGTTCCACATTCTACAACCATCTGGCACTGATTTTCAATCTGAGCCTCCGATTTGGCTACTTCCCCTCGTGTTGGAAGTCAGCTAAAGTCATACCCATCCGGAAACCTGGGAAGGATCCGTCCTCTCCTTTAAGTTATCGACCAATCAGCCTTCTCTCAGGGTTATAAAAACTGTTCGAAATAGCAGTCTATCACCGGCTTCTAACAGGTGCTGAAGAAACAACTTGTTACTCGAGGAACAGTTTGGTTTTTGCTGACTCGAGTAACAAACATTCTCAGACGGAACAAGTCTGTTTCGAAAACATCTGCCATGGCGTTGTGGACGTTGAAAAAGCTGGTGATCTGAGTGGTGGAATGGTCGAAAGAGGTAGTCTACCTAGGCTTAACACTAGACAGCAAGCTGATTTTCAGGGAACACGTTGATAAAACGAAAACCAAGTGTAACATCCTGATAAGATCACTGTATTCACTCATCAACAGGAGGTCTACACTGTCGCTGAAAAATAAGCTTGCTGTCTACAAACAAATTATCCTTCCTGTAATCGAGTACGGTATGCCAATATGGGAGAGTTGCACCAAATGCCATCACCTCAAACTCCAAAGGATCCTGAACTAGATCATTAGGATAATCCTAAAGAGTCCCCCGCGAACTAGAAATTCTGAGATCCACCTCCTGGCTGGAATTCAGACATTAGAAGAACGGAGAGTTTTTATCCTGGAAAAGTTCAGAGACACCTGTCTGAGATCAACTCATCAGATCATACGTGATCTTGTACGTTAGGTTAAGTTATACCCGTAGTTAGGTAGGTTATCACTTTTTTTCAATTCAAACATAACACACCCCCATTCTGTAGACTAGTAGAAAAACGTGAATATGTAAATTAGAATAACGAATTAAACAAAGATAAAGAGTATGATAGGTTAATCAATAAAAATGTTAAAACAATGTAAAAACATAAATAACAGAAATAAACGTAATTTTACTACTTAACAAATCTAGCATAAGCACTCATGAACATGTTTTGCACTACTAGTCTGCCATTTGTCGACTTATACTGGCTTTCCACATTGGATATAACCAATTGATGGAGACTCCTGGTCAGAGACAAACTATTATGTACCTATGCATGTAAATCAACATGCGTACAACGTACCTACTAATCTGAGGCAAGTTTTATTTTCTGGGAATAAAATAAACCATCAATCGATCGCTAAGCCACATATCCATATGCTCAACATGCGTTTTTCCATAGATCTAAAAATAGACACCCAACGCGTTCAAGGGAGAAATCCAATTTCTTTCGGAAGATAGAGCACAAATTCCGCCCATCAGGTTGTATACCGTTTTAGATTTATTACCAAAATAACCTTCGCACTACAAGCTGCGTGAATCTCGTTTAGAGTCGCATAATGGAACATGCTAAAATGCTTTGTTCTAGAATAAATAGGTAAGTAGAAGAAAATTAACGTATCCACTCGTTCCAAAATTAGCCTGTAAGAATACTATTTCTTCGAATGCAACAGTTCTGTCCTGAGAACCTCTGGTCTGGTCAGATTTAATAATCGATTTTTTGTTTTAGCATTAAACTTAATAGTGATAGTGGATTTGGATGCAAAATACCAGTCGAATACCAATTATGATGTGGTAGTTAGGGCAATATTCAGAAAGTCTTCAAATCCAATTGTAATCACCCCTTTTTGTTCGGTATCCCTGCCTCGGAACGCTTCGGTGAAACGTTGAATCTGGACGCACGTTACAATGAACTGGTCGACGGAGATATCCTTTCGGTGTACCGGATCGTTTTTGACGATCAAAAATTGAATGAATTGCGCCGAGAAGCGAAATCCCATCTGGGTGAGAGCTGAAACGGAAAGGAAATGTGCCTGTATTGAATGCATCTTACATCAAAATGTTATCAACGGAAGGTACCTTGTGACAACTCGGCCTCTTCAATGTGACCGGATGCATCCCGGTCGTAGGTTTTGAATATTTGCAGCCATTGATTGATGTAGTTGTAGAGTTTCTCAAATTCGTAAACATCGATCGTTCCGCTGCGATCGCGATCGAACATACCAATCATCATGTTGCATGCCGTATCGGAGAAATGATCGCCTCGACCATTGATCAATGCGGCTTGCAGTTCTAAGCTATTAATCTTTCCCGAGTTGTCCTTGTCGACATTGCGGAATATGTTTTGCATCTCGGGGCTGACGACGGGTGCTTGTGGGGGTGGTGCGTAGCCTCCATATTGACCGGGATAAGCCCCCGCTTGTTGTTGGGCTGGTTGGCCATAGCCCCCGTACTGCTGGCCTGGATATCCACCCTTGCGATGCAGAAGAAAATTCAATATTACGTTTAGAGATTGAACAATGATTCACGAATGAAATTAGAGCGTCACTTTCTTATCAGCTTGTAAATCAACACGAGTAGATTAGTAATACGAATGGTAAATTTAAAACTTACTTGATAAGCCATTATGTCGCTAGGGTTTGGTGATAATCAAGATGAAAAGCCTCTCGTCTAGAATGTAATTATTCTATCAATTAAATTTTTACACTCCCGCAACACTCCAAATTTATTAAGCGTAAATTGTAAACTGACCCCGACCATCAATGAAATTGAAACGTCAAATTTTCAACTCGCTCACAGCTTCTACCAATTGAAGCACCAGGGTCGAACTTCTGCTTCGGTGAACGTGCCCTGAGAATTATTTCGAGGATTATTTATTTGAAAAAAAGTCCAAAGTGCCAAATAGGGGAAATGGATGTAATGGGCCCATACATAAATTCAGCAATCGACTACATTTTCAATAGTGGCCAAAAATATCTATTAGTACCGTCCCAATGACGCGTTCATCTAGATAAAATTGATAAATAGCAGATTTTTAGCTATGTGTCCAATCTTAGATCCATATGCCAACATTAGAGCCATTTCCCTAACATAAATAATTTCAATATATTCAGTCTCAAACCAGCCACAGCAAGAAAAAATGTAATGTCGATCAACGTTATTCCTCGTGATATTCATGCTGGTATATGAAATATTGATTTAATTGCAAAAAGCATATGTTGATCAACAGTCCAATTGACATTGTGACATTGCCTTTGTAAACAATGACTTTATATCCATAAACTCCTCATGAATTAAAGCTCACACATGCAAAGTGCACGCAGAAAAAACACTGAGGCGTAAACCAATAAAATATTTTGTTATTATTTAATACAAAATTTCTATTATTTTCAACACAATTGCTTAAAAATCTATTTATGAATCCTTTAAATTTGTCGAACCTCTTAACGGAATTCCTTTATGGAGAGCTTTGAGTGGGTTGGTTTACTTCCTTTAAATTCCGTTATAATTGCTTATCTTTTGACAGATACGCGTATTTCGTCTACTACTTGCAGACTTCATCAGTGGTGTTGAGTACTTGGAACTGATGAAGTCTGCAATAGTAGACGAAATACGCGTATCTGTCAAAAGATAAGCAATTATAACGGAATTTAAAGGAAATAAACCAACCCACCCAAAGCTCTATTTTATGATTGTGTGTGTAGTGCGCGTTTCAAACTGTCAGTCTGTATCGACATCATAACATTGTTAATAAAAAAGCAAAAAAGTAAAATGATCATTTTCCTTGGCATTTTCTAATATTGTATCATTACAGGAACTCCTCCTCTGCACCACCGAAATGCGTCAACATCGGCATCTACAGCAAAATAGCTACCAGCAGCAGAAAAATTGTCAAAATTACCACCAACAATAACATTAGAATCTACACCATGGTGTACAGAAAGGCGCACAAGGGAAACACCTTCTTCCACCCATTCACGCACCAAATAAATTTATAAACAAACAGTGGCTCAGTTAGTAACTTAATTGAAACCATAATTGAAAAATGTTGGTTTATTTTTATAATGACAGCTAATCTGACATGAGAATTTAAATAAATTTGGTTTTGAAACAATAAAAATAACTTTTCAATGCAATAAAAACCACAATTACTTTAAATAATGCTTCAATTTGATTCAAGCAAACATGTTTTTAAATCAATAAATGCCAATGTTCAATTCAATAAAATTAGTAGTATTATACCAACTAAATTTTTTTTGTTGATTTAATCTATCAATTTTATTGATCCTTATTATATTCAAAATTTTGTTTAACATGAAACCTCGCATGAAACATAATTTGTTTAATAGCACTATGTTTTTTTTCTGCGTGTGGTGACATCATTGGGTACACAGCAAAAAAAAATGTAATATCGATCAACGTAATTCAAGCTGATGTATGAAATAATGATGTAATAGCAAAAAGCAGATGCAATATTACATCAATGGATGTAATTTTGTTCGCAAAATCGATGTACATCGTACAATGTGATATTACACAACCGATGGATTGACCTGGTTGCATCAGTTTCGATGTAATATTCAACAACTTTTTTTGCTGTGTAGAGGGAATGTTTCCGAGAGTTTCGATAAATCGATAGTTGAAGTTATTGTTTATAAAAGCAGTTTCGCCCTAATGAAATGTCGGGACCGATATGCACTCATAAAATTCGACACACAGACTTAATAAGTGCATGAAACCGATATACGATTGTTGTTGCACTTATACCTTGACTTATACGTCTGTACGGCCAAACGTCTGCACTAATACTTGGGCATTCAGAGAAGTCTATACAGTATAGGCCATCAAAACTGAAGCATTTGTGACCATCTTGAAAAAAAAGGCTAGATGATGGAAATTTCAATATTTGAGGTAAATGCATATTCGTAATCTGCAATAAAAATGGAACCAAAATCCAAAATTTCATCAATTTTTGTGCACTGGAACTATTTTAAATAAGTTCGATTAGATTAGCAAAAAGCACCATCTTAGCACCCATCAGTGAGAGTTTGTATGGGGGTGAGCTGTCAATTTGTTAGTTTAGTGTCAAACAGTGAAGTTATTATTTTGCCTAGTATTATGCTTTTTTTCCGAAAATGTATGGAGAAAACAAGAATTTTCAATGGCAATGGTTCTTAACAACCCATTATTTGTAAGGTCCATTTCGAAAAAACCATACTACATAAGGTTAAAACATTATCACACAAACGTTCATGTAAAATTCCATAACCATTTCAGTTAAAGTTTAGCAGGGATTATAAACCATGTTTAACCATTTTCGGTAAGGTCAAGTTATGGTTCGCGTTTATGCGGGCTCCGCACCACTCAGATCATTACAAAAACCTTTGCGCTATTTCGTTTCTCCGTGTAATTTTATTCAATTATGAGATTATAAAAGTTACCGTGTCCAACCGATTACGTTCACAACTGATCCATGTGCTACCAACATGAATTTCTTTGCTACCAAAGATAAAACGTCAAAGCAAGTGCAGAAAAAACTCGCATCGCGACATTCTCACAGAAAATTGGCGGAGCAAAACGTTTAAGAATATTTCTATTTATCTGCGGCACAACTAGTTCATTGGACCTAAAATTTATTCAGAATGGCAGACGATCTTCAAAACTACAAACTGCAACTGCAACAGGTAAATGAAACGGCAAAATGGACACACTAATCGTAAAGGTTTTTTTGTTTACATCGCTCCATTTGTTTTGTTTACTTCGTTTTTCCTCTACGCTAGGTCGAAGCAGCACTCCTCACGGATCCAGAGAATGCCGAACTCCTGAAGCTGAAACAGGACCTGGAAGAGGTTATTGATCTGACCAAAGATTTGATCCGAGCCCAACACGAAGCCGAGCAAAAAAAGAGCGCCTATGTTGAACCCGCCAACACTCGGTACTTTGAAGGCGGACATTCGGCGGCCGAGAAGAAACAAGCAAAACCTACCGTGATCTGGAAGGTCGGCGACAAGTGCTCCGCCAAATGGATCGAAGATGGACAGTAAGTTTCCCTGTCATTAGGGGAATTTAGATTCAATGTTAATGGCTTGGATTGTTTGCCCATTACAGGTACTATGATGCCACAATTGAATCAATTACAGACGGCGGAGAGGTCAATGTTGTGTTCGACGCGTACCAGAATCGAAGCACCACGACCCTCTCCGAGTTGAAGGAACAGAAAGTGCGGAACGAAGTGTTTCCATCGAATAGCAATAAGTAAGTGTTTATTTGCGTCCTGCCTGGTGATTATTGAACTTTTCCTAACACCCATGGCATCATTTCAGACGCATGCGACCCAATCAGAAGGAATACCTGAAAAAGAAGAAGCAAAAGAAGCAGCAGCGGTTCAAGGAGCTGGAGGAAGAACGGGAAACCGAAAAGAACAAGTGGCTTCAGTTTTCTGCCAAAAGCACCAAGAAGGCGGGCAGCAAATGCAAGAGCATATTCGCATCACCCGAGAATGTTAACGGGCGGGTGGGAATCGGTACGTGCGGTGTATCCGGTAAACCGATGACCGAGTTTACCCACGGCGAAAAGTACCGGAAGGGTGTGTAAGTGGCGCGCGCCGTGGCCCAGCTACAGGGACATTTCGAAGGTAAATGCAATTATTCTTAATCGGCATGGGCTGATGAAGCTGTCGATACAACACTTCTAGGAACATAAACTCTATCCTGTAGTTTGTTTACCTATTCTAGGAGTGCATCATTCATATTTCTCACAATGATACAAATAAATATAACCAGAAGTAAGGAATTCGTACCGTCGGAAATCTGTTCAGGTTTTACCTTCGAAAAGGCCAGCTTTGGGTTGATGTTGTTATAACCAATTTAATTGGTACCCACAATTTTTCTCACAGGAAAATTTATATTGCTGCCATTTTTTCTTCAGTTTAACCTTCCAGCTGTCGCCCTGGTGCAAAACTCAATTAAAACATGAATCAATTAGAGTGAAAGTTTTGTTTTTATTCGCTTGCAAGAATAGCGCGCATTTTTCGGTGATTGGACGAGACTGCTGTTGGGTTAGAACCGATATCAGGCATTAATTTTCGTCTTAAATGCATCTGAAAGTTTGCTAAACATTTGATTGAAGATCGGCTGACTCACTTGAGCGTATTCTTTAAAAGACTCGAAATTTAACCATCTACCTACTACTCAAATTTTCATATCTCAATCCTCACCTCACTTCATAAATGTCGCTTCTCACTTAGGGGTTGTTCATAAACCATGTAGACACTTTAGGATGGGGTTGGCAAGCGTCTAATAAATTTCCAAATGTTGTATGAACGATTGTCTACGCAGAGGGGAGGGGGGTCCAATACATTTCAAAATCGGTCTACGTAGTTTATGAACAGCCCCTTACTCACACGTTTCACATCTCCACTCCCATCTTATTCCTCACTGCTTAGCACGCCTCCATGTCTCTAACTCAGTTTTCATGTTTCATTCCTCACATCAGAGACGATGTTTAATAAGAGACGCGCGGAGAGAATACAAGTTTATTCTGATTGCAAGGCCAACTAAGTTATTTTGTCTGCAAGGTTTGACACCCCGCAATTTTGTGTTTAATTCGAGTGATTTTTAATTTGAGTGACTGTCGTCTGCTTCAGCGTCACCCTAAAAAAAATACCATAAACGAACGATAACTCAAATAATTGAACTATTCCACAAATGGTTTGGATGATACCCCGAACACGTTGTTAAGCAAAATAACCTTAACAATTTTGTTATGCCGTTAGCAATGCTGCTGTTTTTTATAAGGACTGTTTCAATTTGAAACTAGAACAGAAACGCACCTCTCGCAATGCTGAGTTGCAGTTTCATTATTCGAGCACTATTTTGCACCAGATTTGTAACTGCTCGACTATTCTGTTTTATTTCTGATCGAGTTTGAAACACGAATGGAACTCTGTTTCAAATTTCTTTGGATGTATTTAAAGATGTTTCGAAGAGCTTCACAAAAAAAAACTCTATGAACTTCATAGAGAACAGTAAAGTTTATGGAACTTGATGATTACAAACATCTTTCAGAACTGTGCGTTGCGCTGATGGTGTTTCAGTTTTATTTTTGACAGTTTCAAATTATAGAATTGTCGAGTCGTTTAAAACAATTTTGAAACTCAGCATTGCGGACGGCCTTAAGGCACAGTTTTTACACTGAATAAAACGTTACAAAATATCAAAAATTATATTCCCAAGACAGCGTCGGATAGCGGAAAACTATAATCAGCTCCGGGTGCAGTTTCTGATTTTGATGCAGATTAAAACGAAGGAACAGAAACGAGATTTAGGATGTTGTAAAAGATTATAATAGGCCAGACTTGATTAATGATTAATTCGACAGTGAGCATGCATAAGGGCGTAAACGCGATGATCGATTCTCTTCGTCGATTTTCTCTTTTGTTAATAACTTGCTAGAATTAAAGTTTCTCGGTACGTTTGCTGTTACTTTTGATAGTCAATACAACCTGTTACAACTCTGCATTGAACAAATTCTAGAAAATTGTTTCGCTTAGCTGTAGTAATGCAAAGAGCAAATCGACGAAGAGAATCGATCATGACGTGTACGCCCTTATGCATGCTCACTGTCGAATTTATACTTTTCATACACAAACTTATTTATAATTATTAAAATCGCAAAAATTAAATTTCCTCGTGAAGCGCTCGTGTTTATTTAAATTGAAACCGCGTTTGACGCGTTCGATTGGAGCTTATGGTTTGTCGGTGCTTATCACACATCTCTGCTCACTTTCACTGCTTAATCATACATATATTAAGCTGAACATTGCATTAGGTCCTAAGTAACATTGATCGATTCTCTTTGTCGACTTTCTCTTTCGTTAATAACTTGAGCACATAACCGTGTCTTGTCGTCTTTGTCGTATTAGACGCTAGATAAAAGCTTCTTTTATCGATCTGAGTGCTAACAATACCTGGGAATGTCTTTACATGGCCGTAGGGATACAAAGAGAAAGTCGACGAAGAAAATCTGTCAATGTTACTTAGGACCTAATGCAATGTTCAGCTAGGCCCTTTTTAAATGTTACACCAGAAGTGTGAAATGAAGAGTAGAAAATGAGTAAGTGTGAATTTAATGAGAGGTATGTGAGAAGTGAGGAATAAGGTGCTCAGAGAGGGATGTGAGAAGTGAGCACTGGAATGTGAGTAAATGACAAGGTAAAATTTCCTACGAAATTCTACTACTACACAATGTTTGTTTTGATTCGCTATGAAAGTTTGACAGATAAAATGAGGGGTTAGTGGATTTTCCTATGATTCGAGGGGTGAATCGATTAGCTTGGGACCGAAGAGAGTACCAGAGCTGAGCCAAAAAGTTGAGCACGTTATTTTGGGACCTTCTAGTTTTAGAGTTACCTCTATGGTACTACCAACCAAGAAACATTTAAATGGACCGTTAAAAACGATGTCGATGAACGTTTTAAAAGTGTTATGTCTGCTTATCTGTGATCATACCTTCACTATCGCAACTTCGGGTAATCTGCGAAAGTACTTGCATTTTTCACAGGCACTTTTGATCTAACTGCAATTACTCTCTCATACTCGAAATGTGCCACGATCAAATTGGCACAACGACGCCCTATTATACGCTCTCTGACCGAAGCGCACGGATCAGGTAATACCAACAATCAATACAAAACTAACTTAAATTGGCTCACTACTTGACTAGCCTATTGGTCCCAAGCAAACGATTAACGTATCCCATTCTAGTCGAAATTCTAATACTACGCAATGTTTGTTTTGATTTCCAGGGCTGTTACAACAGGCGCGGATTTCGCGAATTTCGCGGATTTCGCGATTTTCGCGGATTTGTCGCGGATTTGAACTTTCAGTCGCGAAAATCGCGGAAACATTAAATGATGTCACGAAAATCGCGAAGGGACTGATGTGCTGTCACAAAAATTGTGGAATTCCTTGTAACCTTTCCGTCCCGGATAATTTGGCAGTCTTTAATTTTGTTGTTCATTTGGCTCTCAATGTTTTACCGGTTCAAATCAAACACCCTGCAAATAATTGAGAAATGATCTCAAATCCATAAGTCACACCGAATTTACACGGAAATTCCCTGAGGTATGTCCAATGTGAGACATTTTCCTTTTTTTTCCAACATGAACATAGCATTTTTCGTTGTCAAATCATAAACGAATCGTATATATGCGAGTAATTGCCATGTATACCGGATATTCTAGGTTCTACAAATCGTCCTGGAGTTCAGTTGATTTGTTCTACTGTATCAACCAAGACTGCAATAATGTCTGTAGTATCGAAATATGTCCAAACAGATTCAAAGTGTCTATGTGGATTGTACCCAACCTATTGATGTTGTAGGTTCGGAAATCATTCTGGAGATCAGATTATGTTTCTACTAGACTAATTCAATATCTGTAGTATCGAAATATGCTCAAACAAATTTGCAGTGTCTATGTGGATCATGGCAACCTATTTCCGTGTATGCTAAATGTTCTAAGATTTCCAAATCGATATTTCGATACTACAGATATTATCCAGGCTTTGTTGATCTAGTAAAACAAATCATCTGAACTGCAGGACGATTTGGAGAACCTAGATCATCTGGTATACGTGGAAATAATTAAACATTATCCATAACACTACGAATCTGTTTGGACATATTTTGATACTACAGACTTTATCCCAGTCATGGTTGATCTAGTAGAATAAATCATCTGAACTCCAGAACGATTTCTTCTTCTTCTTCTTCTTCACATTTCAAGCTGATTGATTAGTGCATATTAGCTTATTGCGTGCTCTCAAACTTAGTGTTCTAAATGCACTTCCACAGTTATTAATTGAGAGCTTTCGATGCCAATACCAATGCATGAATTCGTATATTGTGTGGCAAGCAGGGATGGAAAATCATTTACGTTCATTTCATGCATTCATTTACATTCGTTTGTCTCTAACTTTTACCATCAACAGAATTCCGTAAAGTAATGTATGAAGCTTTTATAGTTTTTATAATTAGCTACAACTTTTGTCAACGATTCAAATCTGTATCTCTTATGCATGATGAACTAGAGCGGGCAGAACATGTTATTGTACTCTATGTCCAAGGAAGTCGAGAAAAGATTCCCTCGACCGGACCGGGAATCGAACCCGCCGCCTCCGGCTTGGTAATACCGTGCCTTTACTGACTAGGCTATGAGGCCCAGAACGATTTGGAGAACTTAAAACATCTGGTATACATGACAATATTTCATGCATGATCCACATAGACACAGTGCATCTGTATGGAAATATTTCGATACTAAAGACATTGTCCCAATATCGGTTGATCTAGTAGATCCAATTATCTGAATTCCAGGACGATTTGAAGAACCTTGAACATCTGGATTACTCGGAAATAGATCATGCATGATCCACATAGACACTTTGAATCTGATTGGATATCGATACTACAGACATTATTGCAGTCTTGGTTGATATAGTAGAACAAATCAACTGAAGTTCTGGAGGATTTGGAAACCCCTATAATTTCCGGTATACATAGTAATAAGTCGTGCATGATCCACAAAGTCACATATATTCGATTCGGTTATGATTTGACAACGAAAAGTGCTAGGTTCATATTAGAAATAAAAAAATATCATGAAAATGTCTCACCATTGGACAGACCCCAAGAATATCCGTGTAAATACACAATCGCGACGTGACCAACAAGCGTGACTTATGAAACTCTGGTAATCATTCGATTATGTGCAGGGTGTTTGGGTTGAATCGGTAAAAATTGAGAAAACTAGAGACAAATTAACTACAACATTTAGGACAGCAAAATACGTCAGAGACGCAAAGGTTAATTTTCAAGAAAATTTGCATTTCAAATGAAAATGCATTATTATTTTTTAAATAATGTTTCATCAAATCTAGGCCGGTATTATTCAATAGAATCTCATAATGTAAGGGTGTTTTATTATGTTCACTAATTAAGTTAAGTTAAGTTTCTTTATTATGGAGGCTTTCAGCCTGAGGCTGGTTCGCCTCCGTGTTCACTAATTACTCAGAATTTATACTATAACTGAAGATGACACAATGTTATTAAAAAAAATTCTAAGGTTACAAACGATTCAGTCGGTAAAGGCGCAGCTACAAAGCAAGTCCATGCTGGAGGCGACTGAGTTCGATTCCCGTCCGGTCTATTAATTTTTCGGGTTGGAATATTTCTCTACTTCCTTGGGCATAGGATGGTACAGGCATAAAAAGCTCTCAATTAAAATGTGAAAGTACTTCAAAGAACATTAAACACATTGAGAGCAGGTAAAAATCTAATATGCTATAAGCAATAAGCTTAAAATGCCATGTAGTAGTATAAAATGCTATTTTTAGGCAATGAAAACCGTTTTTTTTTGTCGCGAATTAGTATTTGAAGTCGCGGATTTCTTTTGAGGAATCGCGGATGTCGCGGATCAAATTTAGAAAATCTTGTAACAGCCCTGGATTTGCTATGAAAGTTTGACAGATAAAATGAGGGGTTATTGGTTTTTCCTATGTTTCGAGGGGTAAATCGATTAGCTTGGGACCGAAGAGAGTACCAGAGCTGAGCCAAAAAGTTGAGCACGTTATTTCGGGACCTTCTGGTCTTAGAGTTACCTCTATGGTAATACGGTACGAATAAATCACATATCCAATGGAAAAATATTAATTAGAATTTCACATAACTTTCATGTGATATCAAAATTGGGAATTGCACCCCAGAATCACATGAACCTTATGTGTAAAATTAAATTTAAGTGATTTATCATATAGAACTCATGTGATCACATGAAAGTTATGTGAAATTCAGATAGATATCATTGGTTTTGTTAATGGAAAAGTATTATGTGCATTCCCAATGGAAACTACATGAAAACTTTTTTCCGTGTAGAGGATTTTTTCTAGTCTAGTCTCAGAATTTTATGAAATTTTCTCCACCGTAGCGTATATGATAATATGAACGAAAAAAAATTCAAAAACTACGGGTGGTCAATTTTCCCGGAACTTTTAGTTGAAGTTTTTCGGATTTTCCCGGACATCACGTACTTTGAAAATTCATAACTCATGAACCAAGCATCGCTATCACTAATCCAAAACTGGTATAGGCTTAGAAAGTTGAATTAACAACTGCGGAAGAGACCAACGGCGCCGGTGGTGTAGTGGTAAGCGTGATTACCTCTCACCCCAGCAGGCCTGGGTTCAATACCAGTCGGCGCCGCCGGGATGTTCTGAGGCATAACATCTCTGATCACGCCTTCCTTCGGATGGGAAGTAAAGCCGTTGGTCCCCGGTTCATGAGTTGATGGGTCGATAGGTAGGGTCCAGGTGTAGGAGCTGCCTTCCTGGCACGTCGGTAGCATTGGTTTGGTGCTCAGCACGGAAAACAAGATCGACGGAAAAAACAAACCAAAGTAAAAAAAAAAAAAAAAACTGCGGAAGAGCTCGAAGAACACTTATAGCGAATTTGTTTATTATCGGGGTTGGAACCAGTTTCAACCCAGTGCGAAAGCGAAATTTTTGTCAGTGGGAACCTCAACCTGAGGTACACGGTAAGAAAAAGTACCCAAAATTGAGTTCCTTTCACTCATCACGTGGCTTCCGTGGGGCTAGGTAAAATTAGGTTAAAGAAGAAAACTCAATTTTGAGTAATCCTGGCGTTGACCAAGTTGACAAAAAAATAATAAAACGGAGTAGACTGGAACCGAACCATGGACGTTGAGATTACGGGGCCAGTGAGTTGACCACTCGTTTATCAACGCTTGTGAAAATGAAATGGTTAAAGGCGTATAAAAGCAACCTCAATGAAAATAAACTTATATTTGAGTTTATTTATTATTACTCAATAGTTGAGTAAATTTTAACCAACGCCGCTTTTCTGATTCACTCAACGGCGGACCTCAAATGATAGAACCCAACGTTGAGTTTTTTTTAACTTAATTTTGAGTATTTTTTTCTTGCCGTGTAGGTTTAAAAAACAAACGATCAAACTGAAGTTTGTCAGAAAACAAACAGATCAAATCTTGATACCCGATCCAGGTTGGAACTGAATAATAAACAAATTCGCTATAGTAGAGAACAGTCGAAAAGTTCCAGTTGAGATGTAATAGTCAAAGAAGAAGAAAATATCGACGAGCTACAATGACGCGGACAGCATCGCCGCCGCCGGCATGGGAACGGAAGAAAGGGTGAGCGACTGCTTTCTGTGGTATCAGAGGAGGTAGACGGTATGATGATGGTACCTAGGCCACGGTAGGCTTTCATCCCATTATCTATCGAACCGGCGATTTCGTGTAAGGAAGACAATAGGATCTGAGTTCACGCACGACTCGCCAAGAAAGGTTAAGTTAGTCGGTCGATGACGTAAAGGCAGAAAAATACCAACAACCTCGGCTGGAATTGAATCGAGACACACCTGAGGTGAGAAAGCAGTTACGCTTACCACTCAGCCAAGTACTGAAGATTTTCAGAATAAGTATTAAGGACTTGCAGGACTTGAACTTTGAGAAGATTTCTTAGAGCACCTAGTTCCTAGTATATTTCAGGAAAGTCTTGGGCAAGTACAACAAAAAGCACAAACTTAGAGGCGCCGGTGGTGTAGTGGTAAGCGTGATTACCTCTCACCCCAGCAGGCCTGGGTTCAATCCCTGTCGACACCGCCAGGATGTTCTGATTTATCTTTACTTAGGAGGCTTTCAGCCTGAGGCTGGTTCGCCTCCAAAGCGGGATGTCCTGAGGCATAACATCTCTGATTACGCCTAACTTCGGAAGGGACGTAAAGCCGTTGGTCTCCGGTTCATGAGTTGATGGGTCGATAGGTAGGGCCCAGATGTGGGAGCTGGCTTCCTGGCGTCGGTAGCATTGGTGCTTAGCACGGAAAACAAGATCGACGGAAAACAAACCAAAGGAAAAAATAAAAAATACAGCAACCAAGTACTTGTATAAGAATCATTTATTGTTATTCTATCGCAAACAAAAAAAAAAGATACAGGAATGACTTGCGCCGCTGAGGTTAGTGGCGTTCCAAAATGATGAGATAATTTTTTGACACCACAACATAAAACTGCTAAAATCGATGCTAATCGACAGCACGGAGTGCGTTACGTCAACAGGTAGGACCAGTTTTTGTAAATTAATGCAGTTTACAGTATAAATGCAAGCATGTTTAATTTTGTTTAAAAAAAAGTGTATTACATCGCTTGCTCTTACGTTACACAACACTTTAGTACTTATAGTTGAACAGATATGCGCGCGCTTTCTTCCCTACTGAACTGAAACACGATCAAGTTCGACTAAAGCTTAACCTAAGTAAGTCAGCTGCGAATCTCAACGAAGTTGCTTTCATTTTTACACTGGTAGCAGTTGGTTATTAGTATAAATAAACGTCATCTTGATAAATAGGCTAGCATGAACTAGAAAAAATAAAAATAACGATAGTAACGTATTAGCGGCATCATAATTATTTACAATACTAGAACAATATTTTTTTTCGATAGCCAATGTTCATTTTCACACTTATTGCTTACAGATTGCGCGTAATTTCTTCAGTTTTATAAACACTTTGTTTGTCCTCTCCCACACTAGTCAATGGGTCCTTCCAATGGTTTTGATTATACAAAATACTACTTGACCTCGTCCCTCAGACTATCAGTTCGCTTTGGTGGTCTTCCGACGAAATGTTCTTTTGTATATAAATGTACAAATATTTACCCTAGTCTGCGATTCTAACTACCACAAGTAGAAGTATTGTTCAGTGTTGTTATGTTTGTGTGTATGTCTATGTTTCTTTGTAATGAATTAAGTTTAGCTTGTTGGCTAAATGGACACCTTATCGGCTCACACTTCATCGACGTAGTGACCCTGGACGACGGCCGACTGGTGGTATCTTCTTCGGGAGGCAAAGTCTTCGTTCTCTTCGTTCAACTGCGCTGAAGCCAGCGGAACGTTCGGGCAGGAAGGCGTGACCACCACCTGTTCGTAGTCGTGGACGCGTTTTCTGTAAGAATTATTTTTATTAAACGTTGTAAACAGTTGATTAACGAAAATTTTAAACGTTACCCGAAGCATCTGAAAACGACATTCTTCAGCCACACGAAGAAGCGGAATTCATGCGCCAGACCGGGCTTTACGGCGGGATTGGCCGTTCCAACGTAGAACCACAGCACAAAGACGGTTCCCATACAGACCAGGGCAAAGACCCAGTTGACCAGGAACATCACGAATACTTTTATACCAGCCTGAAATGGAAGAATGAAACTGTTAATCATTTTTGTCCAGGGACTATCCGAAAACCACGTGGATAGTTTAGGCACCGACAAACCGACATGAATGACCATAGCAAAAGCAATAAAATTTCTGACCAAAGCACACTACTGACATCTGGCTCCGTGTTCGCGGGAAATATTTAGCTAAGCCATGAACCCGTTTGCAAAAGTTATGAATTGGTTCGTGTCTGATCTATTCTGGAGAAATTATTTTTATCTAGATAAAAATATCCTATGGTTTTGACAGTTCGGATCACTGCACATTTAAATAGGCCGTTAACGATTTTCGGGCATAAGTCAGAATTAAGTGTTTGTCGGTGGTTTAGGGGTCCATTCCTCTTCTGCCTGGATTTAACCGAGGATTTAACGCTACTACACGAGCTTACGCCTGCTCTTAACTTAGTGTTCTTTGAAGCATTTCCATTTTCGTGGCAAAAAGGGAAGGGGGTTAATTTTTCCATAATTTCGCGTGACGTATCCGTGGGCAGGCTTGCCTAATCTCCTCGAACTCAGATTATGCCGTATAGATGCTCATTCATCGTGAGCTAGTTCATCCCTCACATATAAAGAGCAATGATGTCAAATCCAAAGAGCGCAAAAGAGCTCGAGCTCAGATTGATGCTCAAGCTGGACTTCCACAAACACGCATCACGATGATTGATGCGGGGTTCGTTCTTAAGTGAGGCGTGATTCACATCGGCTCTGCTCACCAAACAACATTTTGAACTATAATGTAAATATAGAGCTTCGCAAGGCCTTTGATTGATGCACGTTTCTTCCATTCAATATTACGATAAAAACAATACATTCAGTGGACTATTCCCATAGAACGTAACATTTTGAGATATTGATGTTTTTTTTTAACTTGGGGACCAATTTTTGGGTTACTCAAACTTAGTCACAAATATCTTTGATCGTTTTTCTACTAGGTGCTTTATGAGTAGATAAACGAAATTATATTTCTGACTTAGAATGTACAAGGGAAAATAGTAAAAGCCCTAATTGCTCCGTTTATGGATTATCCCTTGGTAATGTTTTCGTATTCTCCTGTTCCTTTTAACATGTTCATTCTAGATGAACATTTCAAAAGGTCCTATCTGCATTGATCGATTCTCTTCATCGACTTTCTCTTTCGTCAATAACTCAGCTGCAAAACCTTTCCCTGTTGTATTTGACGTTTTGGACGCTAGATAAGAACCTCCTTTATCAAACTATGTGGTAGAATTAGCGCGAAATCTGTTTACATAGCAGTGGTTATGAAAAGAGAAAATCGATGAAGAGAATCGATCAAAGCAGATAGGACCATTTGAAACGTTCATCGAGCATTCATTCAATTCGCTACCCTCGCTGCTCACACGGTGTAGCTCGGAAATCTTTCTGAACCAACAATTGAAATAGGCGAACAACCCAACGTAAGCAATGGCTTTAAACTCGAGAATCAAAACACTACCACGTAAACTAAAATTGCCATTCGATAAAGGAAGATTGCTCTATCAAATAATGGTGTTAGATTTTTGGATGTGCTTTGATTTTCGAGGAATTGAGTCCTAAGAGAACATGAATTGAAAATTTTCCCCATTTCAATCTCTCCCCATTCCCCATTCCCGGATTTTCAAAACCGCCGAAAGTGTACCACAAAATCATTTTGTTTTTATTTAAATCATTGTTAATTGAAACGTCTTTCAATGAACTCGTGATAACTAAAGGTAGTATAATTATCACGCGTTCATCGATTAACATTTTAAATAATCAGCTGGGTAAAAAATGCATTTACTCTCAAGCTGGCAAATGCTCATTACAGGTAAAATGCTATTTTTCGGATTTATGAAGTTGAGATATTTTAATGATATTTTTTTATTTACAAGATGCAAGAAGAGAAGGTAAAGTGTGACACATAAAATCTATCAATTTAGCTTTCAGAGGGTCACTATAGTAATTAGCTGTAACGACGAGCAACGTGATGAGCGAGCAATCAGCGATCATAAAATCGCTAGTTGTGACCTTCTGATAGCAAAATTGACGAATGTTATATGTCATACACAGATTCCACCTCTTCTTGCTTCTTACAAATTAAAATTATCATTATAGTATCTCATTAAGGGTGATACGGTCAAAATTTGGTCAATATCAACTTGACGTATTTCTTTCAATTTTGCATTTAAAAAACCTGAACACCCCTCATTTTGAAGGTGTGTGTGTGTAGAATGTTGCTCCTATTTTGATTTTGGAATTCACTCTTCAGTTGTCAAAATGCCGTCCAAGCAAGAAGAGCAGCGTATCAAAATTTTGCTCGCGCATCGCGAAAATCCGAGCTACTCGCACGCAAAGTTGGCAAAATCGCTAAAAGTTGCCAAATCAACCGTTACAAATGTAATTAAAGTGTTTGGGGAACGTTTGTCGACAGCCAGGAAGTCTGGATCGGGGGGAAATCGAAAACCGGAAGCCGCTGAGACGACAAAGAGAGTTGCCGGTAGTTTCAAGCGAAACCCTAACCTCTCTCTCCGAGATGCCGCAAATAAGCTGGGTGTATCGTCTACAACCGTGCATCGAGCCAAAAAACGAGCCGGACTATCGACTTGCAAGAAGGTAGTGACTCCAAATCGCGATGATAAACAAAATACGACGGCCAAAGCGCGATCCCGGAGGCTGTACACGACGATGCTGACGAAGTTTGACTGCGTGGTAATGGACGACGAAACCTACATCAAAGCCGACTACAAGCAGCTTCCGGGACAGGAGTTTTATACGGCAAAAGGAAGGGGAAAGGTAGCAGATGTTTTCAAGCACATGAAACTGTCAAAGTTCGCAAAGAAATATCTGGTTTGGCAAGCCATCTGTACCTGTGGCTTGAAAAGCAGCATTTTCATAGCTTCCGGGACTGTCAACCAAGAAATTTACGTGAAAGAGTGTTTGAATAAACGTCTGCAGCCTTTCCTGAAGAAACACGGTTGTTCCGTACTGTTTTGGCCGGATTTGGCATCTTGCCATTACGGTAAAAAGGCCATGGAGTGGTACGCCGCCAACAACGTGCAGGTGGTTCTCAAGGACAAGAACCCTCCCAACACGCCAGAGCTCCGCCCAATTGAGAAATACTGGGCTATTGTCAAGCGGAACCTAAAGAAGACCAAAAAAACTGCTAAGGGCGAGCAGCAGTTCAAGGCAAACTGGCTTTCTGCGGCGAAGAAGGTGGACAAGGTGGCTGTACAAAATCTGATGGCAGGGGTCAAGCGTAAGGCCCGGCAATTCGGATTTGGAAAAGCGGAAGCCTAACTAAATATTTTTCCTGAATTTTATACTAATTGAACTTGAAAAAGAAATTTAATTTGATTTTTTAAATAAACGATTTCACCGATTTACACGCGTTTTCCCTTGACCAAATTTTGACCGTATCACCCTTTAGTGTCATAATTACGAAAAATAGCATTTTAGCTGTAATGAGCAGTTACAGCCTGTTTACTCCAATGAGGTACAGAGAGAGGTGGCGCAGATCGTGAAATAGGGTTGTATTAGTAAACCAAAAAATCAACGTAAACGCAAGTAGTGACGTCACTACTTGCGTGTACTTGCGTGTATCGTACAGTGGTTGTGTGAGTGATTGCTTCACCTCGGTAATCCAGCTCATTGTGTTTACTCTACCTAAAAATTCAGCATAGCATTAAATTTGCAATGTGCAACTCATAAATGATAGATAGCGTAGAAGTTTCTATCTCCCACTCGATGTATGTATTCCCGGCATAGCCCAATATCTCTTGAATTTCAACTGCGATTTTAGTTTTCGACACAAGAGATGATCCGCTATACGATGACGAGACAGTTGAAATGCCGAAATCGTGGTTCAGTTTACAAACACGGGAGCTATTCTGCTTTGCCTAAAATAGGAGCGTTTGCCGAGACTGTTACCCTACAAATACAATTCAAGCTGAACATTGCATTAGGTCCTAAGTAACATATACAGAGTCTCTTCGTCGACTTTTTCTTTGTACCCCCACGGCCACATTCCCAGGTATTTTCAGCACACAGTTCGATAAAAGAAGCTTTTATCTAGCATCTAATAAGACAAACAGAACAAGGAACGCGTTCCTTATGTGCTCAAGTTATTAACGAAAGAGAAAGTCGACAAAGAGAATCGATCATTGTTACTTAGGACCTAATGCAAGGTTCAGGCTGAACCATTGCCACTTTGGCCATTGCCACTTTGGAGTTACGGAATATATGCATAGTTCATTCTATGCGCACGAGTATATTGATGGTCCGAAAGTGAGAATAACAAACTTCGCCCTTGGAAATGATATTACGCAAGTGTGCGTGTTATAAAAGTCAGAAAGGTCAATACGTTCCATAGTTTTTTTTTTCGTTTCTTGATTGTGCATTTCTTTCTCGAATACAATATGTACAAAATCATTCATTCATGCACACTGGGAGAAGCCATTAAGAGCCAACCTCCTTAAGAATACATCACGAAGCTCCAAGTTTACTGCTTTGCGCGACCGCATCACGAAGTTAAAATTTCTGCTCAAGATCCGAAACTTCGATACGTCTGAGTTGTGCCCGTACCAAAGCTCGTAAGGTATCTTATTCAATGACAGCGCGGCAGTATGACCAACAATCAATACGAAACTAACGATTTTAAATTGGCTCACTACTTGACTAGCCCATTGGTCCCAAGCAAATCGATTAACGTACCCCATTCTAGTCAAAATTCTAGTACTACACAATGTTTGTTTTGATTCGCTATGAAAGTTTGACAGATAAAATGAGGGGTTATTGCATTTTCCTATGTTTCGAGGGGTTTATCGATTAGCTTGGGACCGAAGATAGTAGCAGAGCAGAGCCAAAAAGTTGAGCACATTTCTTCGGGACCTACTAGTCTTAGAGTTACCTCTATGGTATGACTCAGGTTGATCGGGTAGACGACCGCGAATACCGCTTCATTCCATATATTGCGCTTTAGCCCGGAATCAGCAATCATCGCT